TAATAACAAAGGAAAAACATAATCAAATAACATAACCTCACCCAGGAATCGGTCAAAAACGGACGATGCCGATTCTTTTGGCCTATACTAGCCCCGTCATCGGCCGATTAATCGGTCGGACTCTAAAATAGGCATCAATGTGGTCAATTCCCGTTCTGCGTTATCGTGAAATGAAAAGTCAAAAATTCAAAATAAATGTGCAATAAAATTGATATTTTTATCACTTCACAATAACGCAGAACGAGAATTGACCCTCAGGTCGCGTCGTTTATTAGTGCCAAAACGAATAAACTCTAACCAGTAGCTCGTTTCTGTAACTTCTCTCTACCGGTTGTGTCGCCCGCCGCATACCCGCATAAATCAGCGGTTCCTCGTTCTTCATATATACACACACATTTTGCATAAATTTACCTTTTCAACTACGATTTCTAATACTATAAACAATTAATTCTAATATTAACTATATTTGACAGAATTTTTTTAGCATTTGTAAAAAAAATTTCTAATCTGTCCTAATACTTTTATTTTACTAACTTAAAAACAATGCGAATTTGTACAAGGTGGTGTTACTGGCGATTTTAAACTTTCGCCGCGGACCTTCTCAATGTCAAAATGATGTGATTGTTATAATTCATACTAACATTGTGCGTATATTTTGTTAATGTAATTTGTTACTTATATACGGCTAACGGCCCCGTCAGAATGGGTACTTTGCGTACGTTCCGCTCAAGGATGAAACTTGACAGTTGGCCTGTTTCATGTGCCTTGCTAGAGTCTGATATTGTCCCTGCATATAAGGTCCTGTGAAAATAAGGATAAACCAATCGACGAACCAAATTTCTCAGGAGGTGACTCCAAACAACAAATCCAAAAAAATCCGTTTTTTCTTTTTGCTTCAATTTTCGATGAAATGCTCTTATAAACTGAGAAAAAATGTTGTTGAAGTGAAATGAAAAATAAATGGTGTATGCTTAATACTTATTATTTGCTCAAATATTATTCGAAATTAAAGCACACTTACACATTTCACTTTTTTCTACTAGCTTATTTACTTTAGTAATTAATACATATGAGAGGAGTGCCAAACAGCCAAAAAGTAAGCACTTACTAAAACCTAAAACATTTTTTTACAAATTAATTTAAAAAAATCTATTGTATAAAAGATCTATAGTATAGAATAGTAGAGCATATAGATGCAATTCCGCATCAAACAGAAAATTTTGAAAATATCTCGCTTACGTTTTTTTTTTGCGGTCAGGGCTCGATATAATATATAAAGCAATTCTGTATGTAACTAATTAAAATTAAACTGTTTTCACAGTCAGATGTACACAGTTGCCATTATACAAGACATCTTATTTTCGAAAATTTTCGTGTTTTTCGTTTTGCTTGATGATACATTCTCCCAGGTAGAGTGTGTTTTTGCCAGCATTGACGTCTCGATTCCAACAGGTAGAGAGTAAAAACACTCATATTTCAAAATGGTTCTCTTTTTTATAAAGCAATCGCATTTCTGGCTAGTATATTTCAGGACGAATGGATGGATTGAGCCAAGAGCTTGCGTGAGCAAATCACATTTTTGGCAAAAATGACAGTTACGCGGTTTTGCAGAATGACGATACGCGGTTTTGTACTTTAAACGGCGGTATGTTTTACGGCTTTGTCTTATTAAAACTCAGTTATATTGACCTTGATTAATTTTTTATTCTTGATCGGCCGATTTATAGGTAATAATTTTAAAGAAAATTTTGTTAGAGAAAATCTGTTTATCGTTATTCTTTAAAATTTTAAATCGGAAAAACGTGAGCTCAGTTATTCGAGACTTCATGAAGATGTTGAAAAAATGCTCTTACATATGTATTTCTTTACACACATGATATGTGATTTTCCAACTGCTGCTCCTCTCAAAGATAATATTTATAAAAAGAAAAACTTGAAAATTGTCAAAAATGAAAGTATCATCTTTTGATTAGACACTCCTCATACGAACTATGTGTAGCCGTGCATATTCTATAAATTGAAGTACGTTAGTATTTGATACGTAGGGGGCGTCAGGCTTTTATAACGGCCGGAATTTTGTTCGACAATTTAACTTTTGACTTTATTTCTATTATCCAATCTCCTTTAACAGACAAGAAATAAAAATATTCCTGTAGAGGTTTCCTGTAGTTGTTATCCCTCCTGCTATGATTTAAAACCCTTTTAGGATTTTTGTGCAGCATGCCATTGTTGTTCCTATAAAAAAATAACCGTTCAAATACATGTACATGACGACGATACATTCGTAGACATGATTCAATAATTAAAGGTTTGCTCATTAGTGACATTCGAATTTTCCCTCCCTTAACTCCTTTACACTCACACAGTAAGGGAGCCGATTTTGTCAAGAGGGGGCGAGAAACTGTTTTTTGAGTAAACATATTTCGTTCAGTGTAATTTATGTATTTATATTAGACTGCATCACTCCCCATACAAAAAAAGAATCGTTTCTGTGTTTCCATTGGAATTATAAAACCTACTATATTTTAAGATTTGCACCAAATATTTCGGAAAAATATTAAGATTTACGTGAGCTGGACCGATTTTTTATTTATATGTTTATTTATTTATTTATTCAATCAAATGGAATACAAATCCTTACTGACTAAAGCAAAGGAGCATTAGAGGCTTCTAAAAAGAGGCGAGAATATCACATAGTTGGATTTCGAAAATCCCAAATAAAACAATGAAACACGCCGCAAGTTAAGAGACGGAACATTTAAAGATAACTTCTCCAAAAGCGTAGAGCAATCGACAGTGCCTTCCACTATTTTAGCCACAAAGGAGGCAGCGAGGAATGAATGCCTACTATTTAATTAATTTAAGCCAAGGAGTTGACAACGAGATGCATACGGGGGTGCAGGCTCCGAAAACCTCAGGGAACGCAAGGCAAATTTTATAAAAACTTTTTGAATCCTTTCAATCCGGTTTGTATAGACGGACTGATAGGGTCGCCAAATGAAGGTCGCATATTCTAACCTAGATCTCACTAAAGTAATATGCAGAAGCTTCAGGGTATAGGGATCCTTAAACGTTACGCTGAACAAAAGCGAGCATAGCATAAGCTTTGGAAATAACGTAATTAATATGAGTTGAGAAGGTTAGTTTTGAGTCAAAGTAAACTCCTAAATCTTTAACCTCAACGACAGATCTTAGATCATAACCGTCAATATTATATTTGGTTTGAACAGGAAGAAGCTTTCTGGTGAAAGTAGAATAGGAGCACTTACTAACGTTCAGAGATAAGTAATTAAGAGAGCACCATGAGTGTAGGCTATCGAGCTCAGATTGCAACAATATGGCGTCTTGTGAGTTTCTGATCACTGAGTAAACCTTGAGATCCACTGCATATGATAAATACTTAGACGACAGAAAGAATGACCCCATATTCATTTATGAATAGGATAAATAATAGAGGACCCAAGATACTACCTTGAGGGACACCCGAAGTAGCAACAAAATTATTGGAAAATACATTATCGATGGCAACTGTACAACACCTGTTGGAAAGGTAGGAACTAGGAATGTTAATCCCGGGATCCCGGACTTTTTAAGAGATTTTCGGAATTTTTAATTTGCACTGATGGAAACTCCTTTTCTTGACCAGTATTGGCTATATTTCTTTTTTTGTTTAATAATTAGTATTTTTTTTTTTATAAATGTCTAGCTCATTGTACATATAACACCGCGCGATAGTAAATTTTAAACACAAATACATATCATTGCGTTTTTAGTTTTTCACTCTGACGTCAGTAATTCAAAAATGATTTAAAAATTTCAGAGAAATGTGCTTAGAGAAGAAGTGTGGGTATAAAATTAATGAGGAAATCCTGTAGAATTTAAGCATAATCAAGTTTCTAGTGCAGAAGGGCTGGTAAATATTTAAAATGTAATTTTAAAATTTTATCCTTGAAATTTCGCATTTGTTCGAATTACGTTCTTCTAACTTTGTCAGCTTAAAAATTAGCTATTCGTCTTGGTGAATCCAAAAAAATTGAAATTTTTTTTAAACTCTAAAGAAATTTCCTATTGCATTTGTTACCCATATTTTTATTCTACATTCATTGCATTGATTTTTTTAATAATTTTTGGAATTAATCATATCTTTGAAATTACAAAGTCCTTCAAAATAAATCCTGCGGTCAGAGAGAAATACGGTGCGAATACCAACATGTTTCAGCCAGGGTTGTGCCTGTAAAATGTTTATATTATTTACAATAATTCTTTACTTGTAAATTATTGTAAATAATTGTAAAAAATGTAAATAATTTACAATTTACAATTGTTTACAATAGTGGAATTCGCGCTTCTGTGTATTTGCTGTATCCTTCGTAAGTGTAACTGGATCTACCGCTAGCAACAATAAATCACACGCTCATGCAGTAAAAATTGCACAAAATACAACGAATACACAGAAGAGCGAATTCCCCTAATATTTTACAATATTTACAATAACTTACAATATTTTACAATTATTTGCAATGTAAGTGTAAAAGAAGGAAAAATTTGTGTAAGTTCACAACCCTCCTTTCCACTGATACCTCATAAGTCTAAATCGGAATAGTTTTGGCCCAGTTATTCAATTTTTTTTTTTAACCAATCAAAATCAATACAGCATAAAAAATCTCATTATTACGATTCCATTGAAATGATTTTTAAATATTTTTATGCAGATTTTTCAATCATAAACTGATCTGTCATCTGAGGGGATTTTTTCAAAAAGTTCTTTAAGAAACTATTTTTATTAATAAAAAACTCCATTTTTGGAGGTATTTTCAAATCGGTCCAGCTCACTTAAATTTTAATATTTCTTGAAATCTTTCGGTGGATGTCTTCAAATATAATAAACTTTGTAATCGCGGCGAAAAAACCGCAACTTTTTTTGGTGATGCACTCTAATATATATCCATATGTATATTCTGTGTGTTTGTACTTACTTGCAAGGATATATACAAATAATTGAAACTAAATAAAAAGTTTGAGGGTCACAATTATCTACATTCCATCTCATTTTACAATATGTAAAGAATTAAATTATTTGTCCATTTTAAAAACTAATTGTCTGTCATTTCGGCATAGTTGGTGGCTTTGAAGTTTTAATAATCCGATGACCAGGAGCTGAAGGTGAAAGACTAAGAGGAGAGGGCATATCATGACGTTTATCTTGAATCGATAAAGGAAGAAACTGTTGTTGGCGTTTTTTGCTTAAATTATTAATATTATGATTATTTTCACTTTTTCCAAATAAAATTGCTAAATGAACTGCACAAAATACGCCCAAACTCTGAAAATGGAAAAAAATATATATAAATACATATGTAAATGCTTGTAACTTAATATTCACATTAAAAATTGCTGACAATAAATACTTATGTACATATCTGTTGCATTTTATTAAAGTAACTTATCTCGACATAAGCCATTTTCCCTTTAAAGCAATATTTCATTTCGTTCCCAAACAATATCTCAACGATTAACTAGCCATTGATGTAGTTAGGGATGTCCGTTTGTTATAAACTTAGTAAAAATATTAAAATTTTTAAGCGAAACTTACCTATTATTTTTTAATTCAAAGTCACACCTTCTAAAGTCACTTAAGTTGATTTAATAAAATGCCACAGATATATACATAAATATTTGTTACCTGTAAAACAGCGATTGTTGCTGAGCCTAAAGACGTTAGTAGTAATCGATTTCTAATTTGCTCAGATACAACGGATAAACAACCTCGTTTATAATGAGTGTCACATGCGGACTCATAAGCATGTTCTGGTCGTGAGCAGCAAGACCAAGGAAGGGAGAGCCGACGATAATCCAGGGGACCATCTACGCCACAGCACTGGAGCTGTAAAAATTTAGGTAGGAGTAATTTATTAAGGAAAAATTTCAGTTGTGAATGTCTTAAACAATTTACATATTTATGCACGTTGTACATACATATACAAATATGGGCAGTTCCTTTTATACATACATATGCGCGTACATACATATCTGTAGACGTTTAAAAAAATCACATATCGACGGTACTACGACAAAACCTCGTATCTCAGAAATCGCTACTACTTCGTGTCTCGTAAAATTAATTCAAAATGGGCCTTAAAATATTACGACTAACTATATATTATTCTTAATTAACTCAAAAGTATTTAGTATTTAATATTCGGTAGAAAAGTTATCAAAAATAATATTCTGTTATTAATGGAAAGTGTTTTTGAGAGAGAGTGGTTTGAGATACGAGGTTTTGCCAAAGTACCGTCGATATCCTTAGTTTTTAGCGGCAAAAAAAAACTGGTACCAAACACAAAAGATAGTACGTTAATATGTATAGGTTCAACCGAGATCGCTGCGAACTCGCCAATACACGGATATAGGCGAGTACCTAATCGTCTACTAATCGCAGCTTTAAGACAACGCAAAGCAGACATTCTAATGGTTTACGAATTCAGAACAACAAAACTTTGTGCAAAGTGCAACGGGTACCAATTTTGTCCAAATTGCCGCACCTGTTGGAATCGAGATGTCAATGCTGGGGAAAACATACTATAGTTTTCCGTGTATTTTATATGGGAAAAAAAAACTTTTCGTAGAAATGGTATAGAATAGTTAAAAATCTATATTTTTCTACCAGAAAACTTTACTTATCTGCAGGGGACTCCCAATAGTAATACCCAACTGTTTATTTAACCATTTTTTCATCGCAACTTTAAGTTATAGGTCCGCCAAAAACCCGCAAAAACGCAGATAAATGCTATGGGGCGACCAAAAATCGTTGGTATTATAAACTGGTTAAATAAACAATTGGGTATTATTATTGAAAGTCTCCTGAAGAGAAACAGAGTTTTACGATCGAAAAATATTGATTTTCATGAATTCTATACCATTTCTACGAAAAATTAAATTTTTCCTATATAAAAGTACATGGAAAGCTTTGAGCGACCTCTAAATATTTTTTGATTTTAAAATAAAAAATAGGGGTATACTTTTTTTCGATACAACCCTAGGGGGTGAGAGCATTACAATGCCGACTTTAATGTTTTTGGACCGCCCTAGTGTACATTGACTGTGAAAACGGTTTAACTTTAATTAAATGGATATGTATGTCTCATACAAATGTATGTATCTAAGCATGTATTTTATATAGGTATTCATTTGTCTGTGTGTTTGTATGTATGTATGTATAAATTAAGTAAAAATTACCTGCGATTGCATACGGTTCCATAAATGCAAATTGTCAACCTTTGTCCTAGAAAATTTATCAAGGAATTCAACAAACGAATCATCTATGAAAATTTCTACAGAAGTTGGAAGGCTTTCACGCATTGCCAACGACCAGCCACATATGAAGAATTGAAAGCAAATGCATCCCACGAGCGCTGCTATGAACTACATAAATATGTGTTTTGGAAGAGAGAATAGAATTTTCGAATGTTGCAATTAGGATTTATAGGAAAGTAGCTCAGTATTTGTGTGGTGTGTTACCGTTCCCAATAAACATCGCTTCCTTTGGTTTGTAGCTTGGCATCCCATCCAGCAAAGAAGAAATGTAATTGGTCCTAAACACAAAAGTATTGCAGCTGGCGCCCATAGTCTATTTTGGACAATGCCGTAATAACCAGAATGACCCCATAACAGAATTGTACCAACCAAGATTTGGGCAGCACCAGTTACCTGAAAAACAGTGCTTACTTCAGCTACTTGTGTACTTAGTATATATAAAAAAGGTAAAATATACAATGTTTGCTCAAACATATGTTGCACATATACTGAGTACATATGTATGCACATATGCACATAAATGTGTCCGCAATATACATGTATGTATTGCAGGACCAAACGCTGCCACACGAATCAGCTATATGTATGTATGTACATACATGTTTCATTTTGTTAATATCTACTGATTTTTTCTTTCTTCGTGCTAGAAGCAAACGTTGTCCATTTTATCCTTGAATGTTTTATCCTCACTGGGTAAGGAATTTGCCAGTGCTCAAACTTTTTCCACGTCATAAAAGTCTGAGTATCATTCGATTTACTTACGTACCATTAAGAGCACGACGTAGCTGTAAACTAAATATTTAAAACATTTTATTCGCTTCGTTAATGCCATCATATGCCAAGACTTGCACTGAACGCGAAGTTTAGGTGGTAATTCATTTACAAATATGTAGATATATGTACAGTGGAACACACGAAAAGAAGGAATGTAATTATTATCCAATAAACTCTACGGACACGCTCACGAATTGGTCTTTGCACAAAAATGACCTTAAACTAGTTACTTTCAAATAAGTGTTTGAAATTTAAAAAGTTTCGAGTGTTTCAACATTTTGAGAAACTGGAAACCTAATATTAAATTAACCAATATTTTCCGTGTCTGAAAATTCACAAATTCTCTTTCAGTTTGCTGTGATTATTATGTATAAGAAAGCACGATAAGCGAAATCAGTTTGATAAACTGTTTGACTTTTCCTGTGCTTGTGTTGCTGTCCTTCAAGCTTGCTCTCATGCTCGTGCACAGTTGCGCTCGTAGTTGAAGTTCGTTTAAGCTTGTCATATTATCTATAACTTAAGCATTGCAATGACTCGAAAAAATGGTGCCACAAAATAAAATCCCGTACTAGTTTTTCTCTTGAATTTTGAACTTTGTATATTCTATACTTAAAAAGCAGATTTTTAGATAATTAAAAAAAGGTAACTAAATAAAAAAATGGAAATGTTGCTTTTTGCTCTGAAATAAAGTTTTCGAAAGTCGCTTAAAATTGGTTAGTACATTTATTCTTGCAACTTATAATTGATTTTAATATATACACACATAGCAAACGTATAACATTAAAGCTAAACTGTTGCCAGTCAGATGTACACAGTTGCCGTTATACAATAAATACATACATCTTATTTTCGAAAATTTTCGTGTTTTGCGTTTTGCTTGATAATACATTCTTCCAGGTAGAGTATGTTTTTCCCAGCATTGACGTCTCGATTCCAACATGTACCACATTTTGGGCAAAATTGGTACCTGTGGGGCGATTTGGACGTCAGGTTTATGTTGTAACACTTGGCACAAAGTTCTGTTGTCCGGAATTCGTTCACCATTAGAATGTCTGCTTTGAGTTGTCTTAAAGCTGCGATTAGTAGACGATTAGGTACTCGCCTATATCCGCGTATTGGCGAGTTCGCAGCGATCTCAATTGAACCTATACATATTAACGTATCTACTATCTTCTCTGTTGGGTACAAGTTGTTTCGCAATGTGGTTGCAGGCTTTTTGTCGACAAATGTATTTCTTCAGCTTCAGCCGAGCCACCTTTCTTTGCGAGAATTTTTTTTGTTTTTGCTCCAGTATTTCAAGCTGAAATTTACAGTATTCACGAAATTGATTTTCACAGGAACGTTGTTCTGGATGCCAGCTAAAATTAGCCTGCACCCAGGATCTAGGCCAATTTTGTTTTTGTACTTTGAGTTGTACTATACTAACTACTATGCAGATGAGTTGTACTGCAAACGAATCCTAAAATTTTAAATTCGCTGCTGAAAGGCTTACAATTTCTGCTGCTTCACTGTCTCGCTGTTTTCACGCGAGTTAAATCTGCAAGGAATTAAGAATAAAAAATTTTAGTTTAATTTATTATATTAAAAGTGTGACAGGCTGGCAGTACATACATAAATTTCCACCACATAAATTTCCACTTCTGTAATTAAATATAACTTTTAGCTTTGTTTTGTTAAACTCACTCAAACTAACCTGCATGACCGAAATCAGGTATAAACCAGGTATTAGTTTAACGAATTTTTTGGACTTAGTCAAGAATAAGCCTGCTTTTTATTCAGCTTTATCTTGACTAAGGGCTGGAATTTAGTTTGGCATCCTCGGAGTTCCGCATAAAGGTAGCTATGGAGCGGTAGAGGGAGCTCTCCTGATTGCAAATATATACCCCTTATTCTAGAACCCGAATTTTCGCTATGGAGATATGCCATGAATGTATGTAACCATGGGCGCATCTATGTCAGCTTCTGGTTGAATTGTTGAACCACAAGCCAGAACTCCTCCTATGCCTGAAGCTCTGGTTCTCAATCCAGTTAATGCAATAACAGCTTCTTCCAAGCCATTGAAAATATGCACTTTGTTAGGTCTACCATCTGTTGCGCTTGCTTCTGCCTTCGGCCGCGCTTAGGGATTATAACCCTTACTAAGTAGAACTCTCCTTTCTGTGTTACCGGAGAAGAGGGGCATGTCTAATGTGACCAACTATTTCATAGCTCAAAGAAGTACAGGCTAGGTTGGGTTAAGTTAACGCCGCGAGCTGATTACAAAATTTCGAATGCGGCTAATTTCGGTCCCTGAAATCTCAGTGTTTGTTCAGAAGTGCGAGCCAAAATGCTTCCACCTTAGCCTCGCGAAGGTTGGACAGTCTAAAGGAAAGTGTGGGGATGATAAAAAAGGATCAGTTGAAATTAATAGTCTGACCGCATGAATACCAATCGGAAAATGGCCTGTTAGAACCCCCATCACTAGCCCTTGAGAGGTTATGTGTTTTATAGTGCCATATAAAAGTATTTGCTGCAGCAGAGAAACGTATTTTTATGCCACAAATGCACCCGGTTTCCTTTAGCCCAATAGCAGTTCGTGCTGCGAAAATTCTGTCTGCAATATTCGCAGGCGCCATGTTCAACATATGTATGTTAAGCGCCAGTGTACGTGTGGTTCCTAATGCTCCGCTTATTCCTATTTTAGAAGTGTAGCCTTCTGGAGTGAGTTCCACCAGATAAGGGCTCCTTGAAAAAGATAAAGGCTTAAATCTGGTCTCCTAGAGCTAATGAATTAATTTGGGCGAGAGACCTCACCTTTTACCGATAGCCCCCTACAGCACCTTTCTTATCCTTTCCTCAATGTTAGGCTTCCCCGACAGCCGCCGTTGATCGCCGTTTTTAGAAAAAACGAAGTGAGACTGGTTGGCCTAAAATACCTAGGGGAAACAGGTGCGCCTTTTCCGGCCCTCGGGATGAACGCAACACTGACTACCCTCCAAGCCTTGATGATGTACCCGGTACTCACGCAGTTCGCATAAATAGGATCCAACCAATTGTACGACACCTTCAGAGGCCTTTGCAGCTGCGCATCATACATCGGTCCCCGGCGACTTTAATGGTTTGAACGAATATATCGCCCAGGCCAGGTGACGATCGTCCAGAAGATCGGAGAAGCGTAAGACCTGGGGGGAGATTCTGAAACCAGTTAGCGATAATTTACGAATCGCTATCGCACTTTTTGACGCAAAAACATTTATATCATGCGTCAAAAAGTGCGATAGCGGTCCGCTAACTGGTTACAAAATCTCCCTCCTGAAGTACAAAATATTGCAAAGAAGTACATTTGACTGTACTTCGAAGTACGAAGTACAAGAGCGAAAAAAGAAGTACTGTACTTCCGAAAGAAGTACGGTTGGTCACATTAGGCATGTCGTATGTCGAAGGTATACAACACTTCTTGTGCATATCACTCCGGCTATGCCGTCGACAGCATTTTTGCGCAGCACCAACGTCGAAATTTGCAAAAAAGTGCATAGTGCAAACCGAGTTTATTAATAAGCTAGTGGTAGGAAATTTGAAACATTTATCTTAAATAAAATGTGAATCCTTTGATTACACGTGTATGTTAAAGTTTTTCGATTCGGGTTATGCGTTTGGACACAACAACCGAAAAACGTTGTAAATTAACTAAACCGGACCCAAGTTTCTCGATAAGGGGCAACAAATATTCTTTTTTGCTAACTTATATAAGGCAGTGGATAAAAATATACGTATATGCGAAAGGCAAATTTATCTGTTTAAATGACCACCACCAATATTTCTTGCAAACACACATCGATTTACATCTTTTATTTTGCCTCCTACACAGAATTGTTTTCGTACAAAATTACGCAAAAAAGCTTACTCGTTCGTTTTTAGGCATGCCATTGTTACGAATTTCGAAAATTCGAAAGTACGATTCGGATTGCAGCATACTATTTCTACGATTCGTAGCAAAATCCGAATACGAAACAGTTGCAGAATAGGGGTGATAGTTTTTAGCTTAGAAAGTAAAATTCAAGGCGTTTATATCGTAGCCTAGCAAAAGCCATAATAATAATAATAACAATAATAATAGTAATAATAATAATAATAATGAAACTATTTATCATTTTATGAATCTGAAATCTTCTTCTTATTTGGTGCTGTAACCTCCCAAGCGATTTTGGTCGAGTTTAACAAAGCACGCCAGTCGTTTCTTTTCTGTGCCAACTGACGCCAATTGGAAATGCCTAGTGAAGCCAAGTTCTTCTCCGCTTGGTCTTTCAATCGCAGTGGGGGCTTCCCTCTTCATCTGCTACCTCCAGCGGGTTCGGACTAAATTCGAACGACATGGCCAAGCCAGCGGAGCCGCAGCTCATCGCTCCATCGTCTGCGGTACTCGCCGTCGCCAACGCATAAAGGGCAATAAATCTTCCGAAAAATCTTTCTTTCGAATACTCAAAGAGCCGGCTCATCGGATGTTGGCATTGTCCATGCTTCTGCGCCATATACCAACACGGGCATGATGAGTGTCTTATAGAGTGTGGTTTTCGTACGTCGAGATAGGACTTTACTCCTTAATTGCCTAGTCAGGCCAAAGTACCATTTGTTGGCAAAAGTGATTCTGCGTTGAATTTCGATGCTGACATTATTATCGGTGGAAATGCTGGTTCCCAAGTAAACAAAATTCTCCACTTTCTCAAAATTTTAACAGTCAACAGGCGCGAATGTGCTGACTGTTTGTTTGAAGACAAGAGATACTTCGTCTTGTTCTCGTTGACCACCAGACCCATTCGCTTTGCTTCCTTATCCAACTTGGAAAATGCAGAACAAACTTTGCGGTTCTTGTTACCGATGATGTCGATGTCATCGGCGTACGCCAGCAATCGGACCCTCTTGTAAAAAATTGTTCTGAAATCAGATTAGAAAAATTAAATTTGGCGGACTCAATATCGTTCTTAAGGTCGCTGATTATGAATCTGGAATGAGATTTTAAAAACCCCAAAATGGCGGATCCCATGGAATCTACCATTTATCACGGCAAAATTAACATCGAACGCACGTACACGTCGTATGAGTAACATTCCCATCTCGTCTGGGTAACTCATACGTCATGTAGGTGCATTAGATTTTAACTTTTCCGTTATAAATAGTAGATCAAATATGGATACATTTTGAATTTCTGAAATCTGCTTTCAGGTTCGTAGTCAGGGACCTTAAGAACCTCCAATTGTAAAGTTGAAGTTGATTTTTCCGCTGGTTAGGAAAAACTGTTTCTAATTTAGATGTTGCTCTGATCAGGGATTTAACTCAGGCCCTAAGGAGTGGTAGTATGCACCTTTAACAACTTAGCTACACCGGCCACACAAAAAGATTGTAAACTTTTTCACTAGACCTGTTAGACGCTCAAATTTCCACTTCAGGCAACTTTGCTAACGTTTGGCATAGGCCTGAAACCGGGGCTTCGGAGCAAAGGTTTTTTCTCGCTCCGGTATTTTATTTCGCTCCGAACTCCGCTCCCGCTCCCAATAAAA